ATTAGTATAAATGCTTTATGAAGCTTGCTGTACCACTTCTTTGTGACAAAAAGAAACATGAATTTGTTGGATTATATTTCAATCCGCCAACGTGGAGGACTCTGTTCCATCCATGTGCAGTATTTCGTATTTACATACGTACGTATCGCATGCAGACATTGGAGCTTGGGGACTTTGCAGACTTGGAGAGATGATAATATTTAGGTCATGTGCACCCTAGTGGACGCTCCAAAACCTGCAGATGTGCAAAGTATAACTCCGGCCTTAAGTTGGAGATCCGATTAGGCCTTAATTCACTTCTGTTTATATCAGCTACCAGCTCCTCTAGTCTATCACTGCCACTCTTAATTCTTGATCTGGAGCTGCTCAAACCAGAAGAGCAGGGCTTTTTTAAACTTTCGTTTCCAAACTTTAATAAGGTCACAGCTCACAGAGGTCCATGGGATGATAAAAATAATAAAACAGAAAAATAAACATTTGTTGTAGACAGAAGAATCTCATCTAAAACCTTCCAGCCTGAGATTGGCATTACACTTATGCAAAGTTAGAACAGTGCGCCTATCCTCTCAGAACACCTAAGAACAAAACCGGATGCCTTTGGACTGGTTGAGACGTCTCATTACAGCTATTTGGCTTTCCTTCCCTCATCCCATTGTCCTCATTGCAAATTCTGCTCTGCCAAGACAGATAAAAAACAAGTTGCACTTGAGATCTAATTTCTGATCTATGTGGCTCAGATTGGTTTTGAATAAAAATCAGCTTAATGCCACATTTTCCTTGTTCACATTGATTAAAAAACATCGAATGTGTGTTTCACATGTGAGGATAAGAATGTGCACTGGGACGTCTCAGCTGCAGCCTGAACATAAATCTTAATTTCCCAGGTTGTTGATAAAGCATCGAGCCCCCGTCACACATCTCATTCATGTGTAAGTGCCCACAGCCTGAATGTGTCTCGGCCACTGGCCCATGCTGCCAGAAAGCAGCAGGTCACTTCACCCCTCCTGGACCCCTGCACTGAGGTGGAGGGGTGTCTTTGCCACATGTGCAGATATAGAGAGTGATGAGGGGGCAGACTCAGGGCTATTCACATGGCTACGTCTGAAAATGACTTTCTGACAGCTAGTCGATATGCTGCCTCACACTGGGCCCGACTCCCTTGCTAAACTAACTGGCTGATTGAAGCTTCATTATAGTCGATGTGATAGTGGAGGGGTGTGTGTGTGTGTGTGTGTGTGTGTGTGTGTGTGTGT